AACCTTTTAGCTGATTTGTTGATTTTAACTGGATATTATAATAAACGTAAATGGTTTATGACATCAGAAACACTAAATTATAAGCTGTATTAAAAAACCTTTACCATGAAAATATCTGAAAGTGGAAGCAAAGATGCATGTCTTATTTTTGTAATGTTTCCAGTACCTTATCACTTCCTGCATTGAAGTCTACGCACTGGTCGATAAATTGTGTAAGTAATGGATAAATTAATAAAATTAAAGAGAACACTGTATAAACATCAGAGGTCCACGGTTGTTCAACACCCTCCCAGCAAGCATAAGAAATATTGCCGGAACAACCGTAGACATTTTCAAGAGGAAACTAGATTTATTCCTCCAAGGAGTGCCGGACCAACCGAGCTGTGGTGGGTATGTGGGCCTGCGGGCCGCTCCAAGCAACAGCCTGGTGGACCAAACTCTCACAAGTCAAGTCTGGCCTCGGGCTGGGCTTGTGGAGTAGAAGAACTCCCAGAACCCCATCAACCAGGTATCAACCAGGTAAAGTTTAATATGACATCAAAAAGACATACGTAAGTGTGGATAACCTATAAAATAGGGATATATTTATTGATCAACTAGCTTGGACTATATTAAATAAATTTAAATAGTCTAGCCTAACATACTTGGAGATGGTTTTGGGAGTTCTTCTACTCCCTGAGAATGGCCTGAGGCCAGGCTTAACATAATAAGCCCAAACCTATTCTTAACTAATACAACCTTTTCCATGCATATGAGGTTGATTTTCAATAGTTCAGTGTCCGCATGGGCTTGTATCCAAAGAATAGGATGGCATCAACATGTCATCATTTCTTAAGGGTAAGAGTTCTCAAGTCAAATGAAATGATCCTCAAGTTTTTTCAGTACCAGATATCACAGTTTTCTGGCTACTGATCATGTTCTAGTTCTCTGTAGAAGGATGTTAATTACTAGGAATTGAGACCACAGTTGTGCTTATTCTTAATTGTTTTAGAGTAACCACACTGACGAGTTGCTGAAAAACATGATAATTACTGTATAATTATAGGTTCTCAGTAAATTAAGAGATGGTTAGGAACTCGTGAGATAATGCTGGCATCAGAGACAGGCCAGGAGAGCAGGTGTATTGTTGTGGCAGAGTTCCTTTCTTGGCTTGGAACTATTGAACTGCTGCTGCCATTAGTAGGTGTCTTCATGTGGCATAATAAAGCTAGAGTGCATCTGAATAACTATGTTCTTCTACTTATAGGTTGTGGCCATATCAAGACACGGTAAAAAAAAAATGTTGTGCGCGGTTCCTTTCACCTGATTACTCTGTTCACCTAGGAGCAAAGTAGGTACAGTACCTGGGCATTAAGTAGTTGAGGGTTGCACCCTGTGGATGGTTAGTAGTTGGCCTAGGGGGGACCTCAACAAGCCAAAATATAGGATCCGTCTAATTACCCAAAACTTTCTAGAATTATGTAAGGAAGAAATACAGTATGATAAATTTACTCACTATAATGATGATGCTGAATGTAGAACATGTAAACACATATTTTTACTCTGAAATAATATCATATTATAACAAAATTAGACGAAACTAAGTGGCAGGTGACGCTATAGGAAGTTGACGATCCAAGCTACAATTTTGTGGAGCGACTTATCCAAGATAAGTTGCTCTAGTTTTATATAGTCGTAATGGCTTGGTGTTTTTCCCTGATAGTTCCCTTCCCTTATCCAAGATATATTGTTGTCTGGAGAGTGTTTGCTTGAATATCAGCCTCCTGTACCTCACCTCATTTCTAGGCAACAATATACCTTGGTTAAGTCACTCCGTAACATTGTCGCTTGGATCGTCGACTTCCTATGACATCACCTGGCACTTAATTTTGTCCAGTTTTGTTATAAAATTATATTATTTCAGAGTAAAAATATGTTTTTTCATGTTCTACATTTAGCAATAACATTATAGTCAGTAAATATACTGTATCATATTTCTTCATTACTTTCATAATGCTAGGAAGCTTTGGGTAATTAGACGGTCCGCTAAATATAGGCTTCCTGTGCCTGACAACAAGAATTGTACTGCTGGGATAACCCAATACCCTTGTTAGCATGTGCACTTCTTAATTGTAACCCGAGCTACAATTAAGTCTAGTGTGTCTATCTAAATGCTGTACCTCTTTAGTACAGTAGATCCAGACTGTTGTTTTTTCACATGTCTATTTGCTATGTAGATCTGTCTTTGTATTTTCATGTATCTGTATTACTGTCTTACATGTCAGGAATAGCAACATAACAAACTCAGTGTCACATATGTCGTGTATTTCCTAAGCATTTCTACATTCCAGGTGAGACTATAGCATCTGTCAGGGCAGCAACTTCTCTCATCTTACTGTCTGCAGTAAGATCTGCTAAGACCACCCTTGTGTTCATGGAGACATAGCCATGGATTACACTCCCTATCAGATCATCATGGCTTTTGTTGTTGCCTTTCTTGCCTTCTGGTTTTATATAACTCATGCGGAATAGCATGGCACGTGAGTAAGATGGATGTGGCTGATAAACATTAGTTTTCTTTTTGAGAGCTTGGCTTCCATTTGGTTTTTCAGTAAGCACTGTTCTGTTTATTCAGAAAAAAGGGCCTAGCCCTAAAGAACTGATGTAATAACAGCACTGATATAGGCTTACAAAGTACTCTACAGTAGTAGCTAAAGGTCATAAAGTGTAGGAGGATAGTACAGTAGTTAACTATCCTATAGACTATATCCTATAGACTATAAGTGGCAAGTGGTGAAGTGATAGATGAGAGCAGGAAGGGTATGAGAGTATGTACTGTATGGTATTTTGTGGTCAAGTCTTGTAAATTAAAAAGTACCGTTTAACAAGTACAGGTATTGCAAAATGGATGAAAAAAAGTGTGTTGCATGGAAGGAAGTTCTGACTACAGTATATGCCAGGGTAATCAAACCAGGCTACAGTAGCAGAATGAAACCAACTAAACATTAAAAATACTTTACTGTAATAGTAAAGAGAAAGAGAAAAAATAAAATCTGAAATGCATTACATTATTTGTAAGATATACTGTATATATTTTATCAAGGGAGGAAGGTGAAGATAACGTTGTAACTGTCATTGAGAAATTTACAATAGTTGTACAAGAAAGTATTTTCAAGTACCTGTACAGTAATTAATATTTAAAAATAACTAACTATATAGGTAGTTGCAAAAAATGGTAAATTGTGTAAGGAAACTTTTTAAGTTTATTCAGCAAATGAGAGAAGACAGACAATACTTTTCCAGTTATCACTTTTTGTTGTTTTCATTATTTTCCTAGCCAGAGCTATAATTGTATACGCGTACTTTGGTCTAGATTTCATGCTCTCTGCTTAAATTAACATTGTTTAAGCTGTAAGTGTTACAGTATTGTCTTTAATTGAGAATGAATGCAGTTTGTGCTTTTTAAAGATTTAAGATGTTACTTAGAAGTTCCTGTGGATACAGTATTGCATTTACAATAATACTCTCACGTTTTTTACCTTCTTTCTTTCTCTCTCTCTCCTTATCTTTCTCTCTCTCTTTTGAACATTTAACATCTCTCTCTGTCTCTTCTCATATCTGGCAAACGGTTACTAAAACACCTGTTTTGCCTGCAATGTTGTATAAAAAAACACATCATTTATTATAACTTTAAAGGTATCTAAAGAAGAATATTAAAATCGTTTTGCTTCGGTCTTCAAATTTAACTGGTTGCTTTGTTTTTTAGTTTTTTATCCATTGGCAGATGGTAACAGTATACGTTTCAGTATGATACAAATTATATAAATGTTACGTGATGCAGTATAAACTGTAGAAGGGCACAGGTAGAAATCTAGAAAAGTATATTACATGTACAGTAATAAACAGTGTGGCCATATCATTGCTATGAACTCTTCATTGCCGGTATCCAGCTACTGAGAACAGGTATTGTACTTGTACGGTACCGTATCTCCATTTAAATGGAAAATGTCACTAAAACATGCCGGCAAACCTTGCCTTCAGGCTTCGTTGTCAGTGGTTCCTAAGTACAGTAACTTGAGAGTGGCTGATGTTGGTGTCCTTTTATAGCAGAGGGAACCTCAAAAATGTCACCAAACAATTAAAAAGATGCCACCAAAAAATACTGATGCCATGCTACAATGTTCAGTAATATCAGTACAGTATCAAAATTTAGCAGTCCCAGTGGTGTAGTGGTTAAGTCACTCGCTTGGCATTTCGCTAGTGCTTTGTCCTGGGTTCGTATCCTGACCGGGGAGGATTTACTGGGCATCAATCCTTAACTGTAGCCTCTGTTTGCCCAACAGTAAAATGGGTACCTGTCTGTTAAACGATTTGGCGGGTTGTATTCCCGGGAACATAGGATTAAGGATTTGCCCGAAACGCTACGCGTGCTAGTGGCTGAACAAGAATGTAAGAACTCATTATATATAAATACAAAAAATAAATAAAAATTAAATCAGATGTTAAAGCCTGGTGGTTCCAAAAGAACCAGCCATCAAACATTGGGTTGTCGGTGTGTGTTCGGAGAAGGGTGATAATGGTGTCAACAATCTGGGTTGCCGGACACGAAGTTACCAAGTACTGTACAGTATGTTTTTTATGTGGGCAAATGGTATTAAAAAGATGGAAATATAATAAAAAGACTATAATATATATAATTATACTATATTGGTTCTTATAATTAGGTGATTTGACTTCATAGCTGGCACACACTATGTATCTAGTATCCCTGTCTACCTGATGTTTCAGACATGATCGTGGTGTCATTTTATAGAAAAAAATTATCCAGTTATGCATACCTTAGGTATTAATTATATTTTGACTCTAATTTGAATGATAATTCATGATAGGTGGACAAATACCAGCAACTAAAATTGTTGTTCATGTTGCAGTATATATTTTTTTAACTTAAAATCTGTGTTATAAATCAACAAATAATTATAATAAAAAAAAGGTATCTTTAGTCCTCTAATGCTTTTTTCAGATTGTTTTAATTCAAGACTGAAATACATAACTGGAGAGGCAACATGTCGTCCTCTGAAGGTTCGATAGTTACTGCTAAAGAGACCTTCCAGATATTGATGGAAATGTCTAAACTTTTAAATACAGGTTAGTGAGATTCTATTGTGTAGCTTTGAATTAATTTGATCAAGTGGAGTTGCTCTGTGAGTCGATTCATACTGAACCGTTTTCAAATATTTTTCCTTTTTTTTATACCAAATTGTTTTAAATATATATATAATAGAACATGCCTTCTACACAGTTTGATAAAACTATTTGGAAAAAATAAACTTTTTAATATTGTATTCATTTGTTTTTGTCATTTTAAGTACTGAATTAAAATTAAGTAAATATAAGGACTTTCTCCATAGAGACAACATTGTCACTTCATAGCCTGTGCATCCTGATAGTCTGCCTTCCAGAAAGAACTGAGAGGGGGAGGATGGGAGCATGGCATTGGGGAGGGAGGGAGGAAGGGAGGATCGAGTGATGGTGAGGGTTGGGAGGATGGTGGATGGAGGGAGGACTAAGGTAGGGGTGTGGGTGCATGGAGGTACGGGTAAGGGAGAGTTTGTCACTGGATGTGGGGCTTATCCGGATGGGGGTCTTTCCTATATAGTCCAGATAATCGAGCTCATACAGTATTTACCAAGAAATGCATAGTTTTGTAGGAGAGGAGTGTTAGAAAGGCAAGGTGTGGGTATGCGAGTGTATGGGGCAGTGTGGTTATGGGAGTGGATGGGGCAGTGTGGTTATGCGAGTGGATGGGGCAGTGTGGTTATGCGAGTGGATGGGGAAGCGTGGGTATGTGAGTACATGGGCATGTGTGGGAGAGAGTGCAGGAAGGGAAAGAGTGGGTGAGAATATGAAGTGTTTGTGTGGAGGGAGTCAAATCATGGTTTTTCTTCCTAGAGTGAACCAGTGGTCATACCATGTGTTTTATGTAATTATATTATGTGTAATTTAATTAAGTTACTGGTTACTAAAAAAAACACATTATTGCAAAAATTCACTGTATAAACATGTTATGAGATTCGATTGAACACTAGGATTGGGGTAATGGAGATTGATTATGCCTCACTGTTTCAATGGTAGTAACACTTACACTTACATACTTACACACACACTTACACTCTTACATACACTTCTTACACTCACAAATTTTTGTTTTGTTTTGTAATTTATACAACTTCAGGTCTTGACGAAACCACATTAGCACTGTGTGTGCGTTTATGTGATAATGGAGCCAATCCTGAGGCTCTTGCCAAGGTCATCACCGAATTACAGAGGGTCAAGAGAGAAGTTAGCCAAGGCAGTGGAGCGGCAGCTACTTGAGAAGAACGTCTCGGGGGGGCTGCAAGAACTGTGACCTGTATGTGCAGAGTATCTAATAGTTCTTGCCAATTATTTCCGTTGGGAAGGTTGAGTTTGTGATTTTGTATGAAAGTCATGTTACAAATATTTTGAAGATAATTCTGTGTAAGCCAGGTAAGGTGGAATGGTGGTTAGAACAAAATTTTGATTTTATAATGTCATTTTTTATTTAACTTTATAGAAGGAAGTAAAGTATAATAAATAGCTTAATAAACAACAAAAATTTAATTTTTAGCAGATCGTTCTTGTCATATTGAGTACCTTAATTGTTGGAGCAAAGAAACAAAAGCTATAATTCCTTGGCTTATTTTTTGTTTATTCTTTTGAGACATTGAATTGATCCTTTAAAACAGGCAAATTTAATTTAGTTTGTACTGTTTTAATACATGCAGTATTTCAACAAGTTGTTTATAGTACTTTGATTTTGGAATCTCTCTTGTATGAAGTTTTGTTATTTATGTTTGTAGTCTAATTTTTAAATATACATTTTGAAGAATCTGTACTATTTGTGCATTAACTTATTCTCTTAACACATTAGTATTATACATTACTGTTCATTATTAATTGCAAAAATTTGTTTTCATTTAATAAATAGTAAAATCTGTATTATATATATTTTTTTTTTTTATTAAAAATGCCATGTGTGTGATACTTGTTGAGGCATGTTTGTAGCGGATTATACTTGTGATTATACTTGAATTGCTGTTTGTGTGTGCAGTTACTGTACCTGGTTGATACCTGGTTGATGGGGTTCTGGGAGTTCTTCTACTCCCCAAGCCCGGCCCGAGGCCAGACTTGACTTGTGAGAGTTTGGTCCACCAGGCTGTTGCTTGGAGCTGTAGCAGCTGTTGTATTGTTTGTCATCAGTACTGTACTGTGTATAGTACTGTATTTGAATTGTTCAGTAGGGCTCGGGTATTAATCTGCAATTTTGCTGCATCCTCATAGTAGGCTTTTTCTAATGTTTTAAGCCTGATGTATAATTCTGCATGTGAATTATACATTCACAGGCAGAATGTATACATTCAGAATGTATGCATGCAGAATGTATACATACAGAATGTACACATGCAGAATGTCACATGTAGTATGCATGTGAATTCACATTCACATGCATACTACTAGGTTCCTCCTTACATTTGGAACAAGGAGGAACACAAAACTCATTTTAAGAATTATTCAATCATTGATTTTATACCTGTAGCTTTCGGACATCAAAGAATAGAATTCAAACGAATTGTTGTAAAATTCGGTTGTTTGTTAAATTGAGCATTAAAGAACTGTAAATTACAACTTAAGGATTTACCTTCACATGTTAGCTGCTTCAGGTGGTGACAAAATATTGCCAATTTATTTTCCCACAGTTAAGAAAGCAAATTATTTGATGTTTGAGTCTACATGGGTTTACATGGCATTGCAATAAATTTCTGACAAATTTTACTTGGTGTTAGTCCTATAAGTTTCATCTGGCTAAAATAAAATTAAGATTGATAGAAATACAGTACTACTATAATATGACAAATTTTAAGTAATGTATTCCATTGTTGTAAGCCTTTTAAGTTTATAAGATCTTTCCATGCCTGGAAAAGATCACCAAGGCTAGACGGGGGCCAGATGGCTGAGTGGACAGTGCTCGGGATTCGTAGTCCTAAGGTTCTGGGTTCAATTTCTAGCAGAGGCGGAAACAATTGGGCAGAGTTTCTTTCACCCTGATAATCCTTGTTCACCTAGCAGTAAATAGGTACCTGGGAGTTAGACAGTTGCTACAGGCTGCTTCCTGGGGATGTGTAACAAAAAGGAGGCCTGGTCGAGGACCGGGCCACAGGGACGCTAAGCCCCGAAATCATCTCAAGATAGCTGAAGGTTAGGTTCGGTCACTCGACCAGCACTGGGATTAATCTGAAAGTTTGAATGGTGCACATATCATCACATTTGCCATGCCAATGACTTTAATGTTAACTAGTTTATCATTTGAGCTTCACTATAAATTTTCATAAAAATTAAAAATTTAAATAAGGAGATAAGTATTTTTTTTTAATTTTTGTGACAAGAAAATTAAAGTTTATATGAAATGGTAATAAAAGTTCATTATGAGACTTTAATCGGAGGATCGCTATAATTATTCCAGGCAACTTGTAATAATATTAAGTAATCTTAGTTTTCATTATACAGTAGAGTACAGTAATTCCTTGGAGACATATCAATCATTATACCTATGGAAAGTTATTAACAAAAAATATCCCTTTTCCTATCCAAAATCTTGTCATTTCATGCATTGTGAGATCTGGGAGTGATACAGATTCTAAATACTGTACAAGACCCAGGAGCTGTTGCTGGCAATGTGGCAAAAGTTCATAGTTGCCATAGGCAACAGAAGCTAATATGGAAACATATTAACAAAAGCTTGTTTATTCCTTGCTAGAATATTTAGTTGCCATAGAATTGGTTTATATTATGTCTGGTGTGCGAAGGTGTGTCCACGTTACCCTGTCAGACTCGTGAATGTGTCCACGTTACCCTGTCAGACTCGTGAATGTGTCCACGTTACCCTGTCAGACTCGTGAATGTGTCCACGTTACCCTGTCAGACTCGTGAATGTGTCCACGTTACCCTGTCTGACTCGTGAATGTGTCCACGTTACCCTGTCAGACTCGTGAATGTGTCCACGTTACCCTGTCAGACTCGTGAATGTGTCCACGTTACCCTGTCTGACTCGTGAATGTGTCCACGTTACCCTGTCAGACTCGTGAATGTGTCCACGTTACCCTGTCAGACTCGTGAATGTGTCCACGTTACCCTGTCTGACTCGTGAATGTGTCCACGTTACCCTGTCAGACTCGTGAATGTGTCCACGTTACCCTGTCAGACTCGTGAATGTGTCCACGTTACCCTGTCTGATTCGTGAATGTGCCCACGTTACCCTGTCAGACTCGTGAATGTGTCCACGTTACCCTGACATGTGAATGTGTCCACAATACCCTGTCAGACATGTGAATGTGTCCACGTTACCCTGACATGTGAATGTGTCCACAATACCATGTCAGACATGTGAATGTGTCCACGTTACCCTGACATGTGAATGTGTCCACAATACCATGTCAGACATGTGAATGTGTCCATTACAGTCCAAGATGTGATAATAGTTGATAGATGGAAGTTTAAATATCCGGAGATTATTCTTGTAATTCTTGTTGTCATTATAACAAATTATTAAATAATTTTCTTTATGCAAAGTTGTACTTTGATTGTTTAAACATGGTTGAATACTATGTATAAAGTTGTAGTCATAATGGGAAAACTGCAAATAACTGAACTAATGAAATTTAAGATTAACAGTAAGGATGATCAAGGTTATATTCATAGTTTCATTATCAATTCTGATGATTAGTTTTCAGCATTTTCTTTATACAGTAATGTATTTAAATGACAGAAAAATTATCCTCATATATTAATCACCTACCATACAGTCTTATTATTAACTATTGTAAAATCCAACAGAATCCGAGACATTAGAGATATATACAAAATACCACTACATTTGACTATGTAAACCTTCACCCTCACAAATGTATTCAGTAGCCTATTGTATAGATTATAATAATAATGCCTTATATTTGAGTGATGTTGAGGGTAGGAGAAGGCAACTGTGAGAGGGAGTGAGTGAAAATGAAGAATAATGTGGTAAGGAACAAAGCAGTTTGTGAAAGGGGGTATTGTGTGTGTGTTTTGCCCTTACTGTGGGACAACTTGGCAGCAGGATACACCTTGTCTTGTGAAGTGGTGGGGTACTAGAGTGTGGTGATATTGGTTCTAAGGTGCTGTGTAATGTGTGTGATATGCTGCATTTACCCTCATTGCACTAACATACATACTATACTGTTCCTTAGCCTAATAAAGAATTTGATTTAAAATGTTTTAAATATATTTAACTATCCTTTTTTTATATATGCCTCTGTTGTCTTTTTGGGCCAGAGTCCCTTGTGGCTCCCTGTAGCTACTATTTCTCATTGTGTCATACTACTAGGTCCCATCAGTTGCGGAGTTCTATAGGCTTACTGGAGACCAGAGCCGGAATCTGGCCCCCTGCACTGAGGTGCAGAAAGCTATGGCACTTATGATAGCATTTTTATTAATTTATTCATGTTTGCCACCCACTGGAAAAGCAACCCATCCTCAGACCAAGTCCATTCCATTCAGCAGTTGACCTCAAAGACGCGTTCATTAATTTTAACATGATGGAATATTTTTAACAAAATAGGAATTTTCTCAAATGTAAATTAATATTGTTATACAGTACAGTATATATTAGCATACTGTGCATATTTAGGCATTGGTTAGGTTAGTTATTTAGGTTCTGTTGGCTATTATTTGTATTTGTAGTACGTGGATGAAGCATTTACAGCGTTGGTTTGAACAAAATTCGTCAGCGAGGCACTTGTTCCAGAAGTGTTCGGACATCATCAGTCGAGTCGTGTACCCGTAAACCGTTTTTCATTCATAAACGGGAGGGTTTGGCGGGTTCATGGAATGGACTGGCTTTTTGTTTATGAGGACGGACTGGGAAAAGATAACCAGAAAGTCTATGAAGCAAAACAAGCTCCTGCTGGCTTCAAATGAGACAACAGCCTCGAGAAATCTCCAAACTATAAACGAACGATTGAAAATTCACAAAACTAATGCCAGCTCATTCGCCCCACTTGTTTCGGGTGGAACGGGGAGTTATCTTGCTTCTTAGCACACTTTTAAAGATTTTTATTATGTGTGATGTTAGTGCTATTGGTTTATAATTCTTTGCATCTGCTTTACTACCCCATTTTTGGAGTGGCACTATCTATTTTGTTTTAAGTATGCTGCAGATAACACCAGTAGCTAGGCTTCATTTTCAAAGAATGTTTGTGGTCTGTGATAGTGTTTTTGAGGAATTCCCAATGAATATAAATTTCAGGAATCTGGTCCTGGTGCAGAGTGCATGTGCATACTGTTTATGGCTACTTCAAAGTGCAGTGGGGTTAGGGTGACATCTGATATATGATTTGATGTTGGTATCATATGCTATCATGGTATTCATGATGATTTATGAATTCATTTGCATTATCAATCTTCAGTGTTTAGCAGTTCATTGAAAACAGAATGGTACTGTATTCTTAGTATTTCACTAAAGTAATTTCTTTGTTGTCATCTGTGAAAATTCCATCTTTTTCTTCTAGATTTTGTATAGGAGAAAAAATATTTTGGGTTTTGTCTATATTTTACTGATCGCCTTTTGCTTTCTTCATCTCTTCTGTATTTTAAATGATTTATTTACTTATATATATATATATATATATATATATATATATATATATATATATATATATATATATATATATATATATATATATATGTCGTACCTAGTAGCCAGAACTCACTTTTTGGCCTACTATTCAAGGCCCGATTTGCCTAATAAGCCAAGTTTTCCTGAATTAATATATTTTTTCTAATTTTTTTCTTATGAAATGATAAAGCTACCCATTTCATTATGTATGAGGTCACTTTTTTTTATTGGAGTTAAAATTAACGTAGATATATGACCGAACCTAACCAACCCTACCTAACCTAACCTAACCTATCTTTATAGGTTAGGTTTGGTTAGGTAGCCGAAAAAGTTAGGTTAGGTTAGGTTAGGTAGGTTAGGTAGTCGAAAAACAATTAATTCATGAAAACTTGGCTTATTAGGCAAATCGGGCCTTGCATAGTAGGCTGAGAAGTGAGTTCTGGCTACTAGGTACGACATATATATATATATATATATATATATATATATAAATATATATATATATATATATATATATATATATATATATATATATATATATATATATATATATATATATATATATATATATATATATGTCGTACCTAGTAGCCAGAACGCACTTCTCAGCCTACTATGCAAGGCCCGATTTGCCTAATAAGCCAAGTTCTCCTGAATTAATATATTTTCTCTAATTGTTTTCTTATGAAATGATAAAGCTACCCATTTCATTATGTATGAGGTCAATTTTTTTTATTGGAGTTAAAATTAACATAGATATATGACCGAACCTTACCTAACCTAACCTATCGTTATAGGTTAGGTTAGGTTAGGTAGCCGAAAAAGTTAGGTTAGGTTAGGTAGGTTAGGTAGTCAAAAATACATTAATTCATGAAAACTTGGCTTATTAGGCAAATTGGGCCTTGCATAGTAGGCTGAGAAGTGCGTTCTGGCTACTAGGTACGACATATATATATATATATATATATATATATATATATATATATATATATACATATACATACAAGAAGTTACATTGGGTTTATGAGAGTACATAGCATGATGTGTTTACATTCTTGTAAAGCCACTAGTACACACAGTGTTTTGGGCAGGTCTTTAATCTAACAGATAATATTAAGTAGATAATTTCTAGCAAAATTTATAAAGTGTTAACAGGTACATTGTAAAAAATTTGAGAATAAGATTAGTAGGTATATTAAAGTACATTAAAGCACACTGAAAGCTTTGATTGAAAGCATTGATAGCTTGATTGATATGACAAAAATTAGAAGGCACATTAATCACACTGATAGCACATATAAGATGACAGCAATGTTTAATGGTAAAGTTGTAAGGCTTAGGTATATATATATTGGGGGATTGCGTAGCACACAATGTGTTCAATTAACAACCATGATAAAAATGATATCAATGAATACAATGGTAAAGTTATATGGCTTAGGTGCATATATTGGGGGATTGGGTAACACAAAATACAGATACTGTGGATAGAGATTCAGATACAGATTATAAACTCGCACTGGATAGTGAGCGAGTTTAAAGCACTAGGTAGGAAACTATGAAGATGAAATTAGGTACCTTTTTATTTTTGAATAAGGTAAAAGTTGGACAGCTTTTCAAATCGTTAGGGAGTGAGTTCCATAGACTAGGTTCCTTTATTTGCATAGAGTGTTTACACAGATTAACTTTGACTGGAGATATCAAAGAGATATTTATGTCTGGTGTGGTGATTATGTGTTCAATTACATCTGTCCAGGAAGAGTTTCAGACCAAGGTTTGCACTTAAGAAAAGGGTTTTGTAAATGTAATTGACACAAGAGAATGTGTGGAGTGAATTTTTGGTTAGCATATTTAGGGATTTAAACAGGGGAGCTGTGTGTTGTCTGAAAGCAGAGTTTGTTATTGTTCTGATAGCAGATTTTTGCTGGGTGATGATGGGCTTGAGGTAGTTTGCAGAGGTTGAACCCCATGCACAGATACCATAAGTAAGATAGGGATAGATAAGTGCATAATATAGTGAGAGGAGAGCAGAGTAGGGTACATAATATCTGATCTTAGAGAGTATACCAACTGTTTTAGAGACTTTCTTAGTTATGTGTTGTATGTGGGTGCTGAAGTTGAGTCTCTTGTCTAAGTATAGGCCAAGGAACTTTCCATCATTTTTATTGCTGATGTTAACATTGTCTATCTGAAGCTGAATTGCATTTGTTGATTTGCTTCCAAATAAGATATAGTAGGTATTTTCTGTTTAGTGTGAGTTTGTTGGTGACATCCATAAGTGGACTTTTTTTTATAATTCATTGTTTACAACATTATTTAATATAAGTGGGTTGGGGTCTGAGGGTTGTATCATCAGCAAACAATATAGGTTTAAGCATGTTAGAGACATTAGGCAGATCATTGATGCATATAAGAAATAGGTGGGGTCCTCGGATGCTGCTTTGTGGCACCCCTACAGTTAATGGGAGAGATTATATCATTGATGGCTACATATAGTGTCTGTCATTAAGATAGGATCGGATAAAGTTCAGGGAAATGCCTCGGATTCCATAATGGTGGAGGTTAAGTAAGAGGTAGTTATGGTTAACAGTATCAAAAGCCTTTCTCAGGTCAATGAAGAGTCCAATTGGATACTCACTTGTAGCTTTTTTTTGTAACTTGGATTCTTGTAGCTTTAGCTTGATCGATTCTATTTCTCTACTTAGCTTTGCTTGTTGCTCTTGGGACAGAGTGGGGTTACTCTTTACTGAAAATAGTTAAAAAAATAAAGTTATAATAAGTCTCCATTCTGTGTCAACTAATGTTTCGACCTATGAGTTAAACCATTATTCTACAGTGCATCCTGTTAAAGGTTAACACTTGGGAGAAATCTTGGTGCTTCTCATTAGATTATAATAAGCACTCCTATAAATTACTACATATAATAATAATGCTTTCGCTAAATAACATTATGTACAATAGTTTATGCTTTGAAAATCTTACAGAATGGATTGTAGGAACGTCAAGAGAAAACGATGTGGCGTTGGAGTGTGTATGGGGTACACTACTGCAAACAGGATGGATATAGGCTCCACAACAATACAAATTTTTATTCAGGTAAAGTACATACATACAAGGTAAGATACAAAAGTTGATGGATTTATAGATAGAGCTAGTACATACAATGCTTAAAGCCACTATTACGCAAAGCGTTTCGGGCAGGTCACGGAATGAGAGTACTCGCCTAGCTCTGGGCGGAGGTAGACGTGTTGCCTGTGAGCTCCTGTTTGTTGACCCGTGGTAGTTTGTGTTTGTGAGTGGACCCTTGGGGCCGTGCCGGGTGGAGGGATGGCGGTCCTTGGGGCAGAGAGTCAGAATTCGGCTCAAAAATCACCCGCAGGAGTCAAATTTCCGACATTTCAGATATTTTGAAAACTGCAGGGGGGTTTGGGCAAAATATGACCCATCACCGTTTTCAGTAATTGGCATATTTTCAGTATAAAAATTCGTAATTTGAAAATGAAAATAGGTGCAGAGAGTCAGAATTCGGCTCAAAAATCACGCTCAGGAGTCAAATTTTGGACATTTACGATATTTTGAAAACTGCAGGGGGGTTTGGGCAAAATATGACCCATCACCGTTTTCAGTAATTGGCATATTTTCAATATAAAAATTCGTAATTTGAATATGAAAATAGGTGCAGAGAGTCAGAATTCGGCTCAAAAATCACGCTCAGGAGTCAAATTTTGGACATTTACGATATTTTGAAAATTGCAGGGGGGTTTGGGCAAAATATGACCCATCACCGTTTTCAGTAATTGGCATATTTTCAGTATAAAAATTCGTAATTTGAAAATGGAAATAGGTGCAGAGAGTCAGAATTCGGCTCAAAAATCACGCTCAGGAGTCAAATTTTGGACATTTACGATATTTTGAAAACTGCAGGGGGGTTTGGGCAAAATATGTCCCAACGTCGTTTTCAGTAATTGGCATATTTTCGGTATAGAGAGTCGTAATTTGAAAATGAAAATAGGTGCAGAGAGTCAGAATTTGGCTCAAAAATCACGCTCAGGAGTCAAATTTAATACATTTCAGATGTTTTGAAAACTGCAGGGGGGTTTGGGCAAAATATGACCCATCGGCATTTTCAGTAATTGGCATATTTTCGGTATAAAAAGTCGTAATTTGAAAATGAAAATAGGTGCAGAGAGTCAGAATTCGGCTCAAAAACCACACTCAGGATTCAAATTTCCGACATTTCAGATATTTTGAAAATTGCAGGGGGGTTTGGGCAAAATATGACCCATCGCCGTTTTTAGTAATTGGCATATTTTCGGTGTAAAAATTCGTAATTTGAAAATGAAAATAGGTGCAGAGAGTCAGAATTCGGCTCAAAAATCACGCTCAGGAGTCAAATTTCCGACATTTCAGATATTTTGAAAACCGCAGGGGGGTTTGGGCATACTTGAACCTGTTGTCTTGCCACTCTTGGCATATTAGTCAAGTAAATTGTACTTAAGAAACTAAACAATTTTATATTTTCATTGCATTTTTATTAATCTGTGAATTGCTTGACAAATAAATGATACATTAAAGGCATTTTATTGCTACATTTACTGTGTTAATGCACCGAGATAGTTTTATCAACTGTCCCATTTTCTTTTATTAAGTTTGCATCATTTTATTTATCCTTCTAGCACACTTTTGTTTTTCCCCTCCCACTGTTTCTTCTCCTTCCCTCCTTTTGTGGTGTTCACCAACACTCGTCACTAACATCTCGAGATCATAAGTAAACCTGTTTTTGTTCTCATTAAAGGATATGGTTGAGACGTCTACAGCCCTACGTCGTCCGGTCCAAAGGGAGCAGACAGAAGAAGCAGGTTGTGGCCTGTGTGGAATAATATGTATTTATACAATACAAGATGGAGTATTTGATGGTGCCCGGATCGACCCCAAGAGGTTGCTAGGAGCTCCAAAATGCACATCTGCCATGATATTAATAAAACTGTAGAAACATATAGGACAAATAATAATACAAAATCAATCTTCATTGGGGTTACAATGGGAGCTGTCTTCTCTTAAGCAGGGCAATGGGGACGATCCAAGCCCTCTTATGACAGTCATTAAACCCCCACCATTCAACATGTAAAGTTGGCTGAGGCTAACCCTAAACATCTGGCCTCAGACATAATGTAAAAATTTTATAAATTATATACTTTGTGCGCTTCAGGAATTAGGATTATGGAATCGGCCTCTCGGGCCTGACAGCTGAGTGGACAGTGCTCGGGATTCGTAGTCCTAAGGTTCCGGGTTCGATCCCCGGTGAAGGCGGAAACAGATAAGCATAGTTTCTTTCACCCTGATGAACCTGTTTACCTAGCAGTAAATAGGTACCTGGGAGTTAGACAGCTCCTACGGGTTGCTTCCTGGGTGTAACGAAAAGGAGGCCTAGTTGAGGACCGGGCCGCGGGGACGCTAAGCCCCGAAATTATCTCAAGATAATCTCTGTTATGTCTGCTCCATTGATGTGTGACCAAAATGATGGGAGATGAGCATTGGATGCAAACTTTAATAATTCCAACAAGTGTATTTATTCTGTATGCTTAAAACATTACATGTGTTAACCGACATTTCATATATTATGTTCATATATTATGTATCTATAAACTATCTATACTGTATGTATACCCAGATGAGTGTTATACCTTTTGAAAAGGTTTTATACATGCGACTCATATATTGCATACATACTTTCTGATGTATAATACAAAATATTATCGCGAGATGTAATGTATCTTATATTAAACTATGTATCTGCATTTTCTTCAATAAATAAATAAATATTGATTTATGTTATAATTTTCCTCCATATATTGATCAGGAATGAAAATCACTCGAGCCCAAAAGAAGTAAATGAGATTTATAATGGATCTATAAAAAGGCATTTTGACCTCTCTAGGCTACCTACACCTGGGGCATTGGCGAGGCCATTGTATAAATAGGGGAGTCTACATCAATGCGCATTTTTCAATTAAATGTGCATTTCAAGACATTTTTAAAATTTTCCAGTAATGACCTTTTCTCGAAAAACGCTTTGAGCGAGTCCATTATTTAATGGGGGAGTCCTTGGCCGAGTCCATTGTATAATTGGGGGGGGGATCTACATCAATGCGCATTTCTCAATTAAATGTGCATTTCAAGACATTTTTTAAATTTTCCAGTAATGACCTCTTCTCGAAAAACGCTTTGAGCAAGTCCATTATTTAATGGGGGAGTCCTTGGCCGAGTCCATTGTATAAATGGGGGGGGGGTTCTACATCAATGCGCATTTCTCAAATAAATGTGCATTTCAAGACATTTTTAAAATTTTTCAGTAATGACCTTTGCTCGAAAAACGCTTTGAGCGAGTCCATTATTTAATGGGGGAGTCCTTGGCCCATATTGTTTAATTAATAGATTCACTAATAAAGCTTATAATTGTATATGTTATCAAAAAGGCATAGATATATGCATTTTGATAGTTACAAAGACAGCTCTTTAACACGGGTGGAACACGAACAAGGGGAACTTAGTACCCAAATGAGCCACAGAGATATTAGAATTTTTTCAGTGTCAGAGTAGTTAACAAATGGAATGTATTAAGCAGTGATGTGGTGGAGGCTGACTCCATACACAATTTCAAATGTAGATGTGATAGAGCCCAATAGGCTCAGGAACCTGTACACCGGATTGACGGTTGAGAGTCGGGACCAAAGAACCAAAGCTCAACCCCTGCAAGCACAAATTAGGTGAGTACAACTAGGTGAATACAGCTGAGGGGCGGGACCAAACAGCTGAAGCTCAATTCCCTACGCATAACTAGGCGAGTCCATAGGAATTACCGTTTGTCCTGGCGCCATCTATGTTTTGACAGCAGTACTACTAATGTTCCCACGTTATGTGATGATCGCTATACGGGTGTTATGGTCAGTTGCTCTTCTATATATGTTTATGGACAACGTAGGTGATTTGAGGCAATTTGCGGCCCGAGTGAAATAGTATCCACGCGGTGAGTGATGGAGGAGGATATATACTGCTGTGTACTCGACCAGCGGGTGAGAGGTAAGTTATATCGAACAATTATGGGGAATAGATGGGTTATTTTAAGCGTAGAATGTCAGGTAACCGGTAACTACACAGATGGGGTAGTGTTTTTTTAAGTCTTTATTTACTAAAGTGGAAGATTACATTATGCCTTTAGCTGAACAAGTCTACTGGTGGGGGAAGTAGACGGGTTTTATGAAAGTATTTTACCTAAATATTTGTATTTGGTTAACTAGTTCAGCCGTTACCAGGGAGGGTGTTCCTTTAATCTAATGTAAAAATTCTAGCCGGACAAAGTGATTAAATAAATTGAATAGAACGAAGTGGTTTGCCAGGGTGCTTAACATTTAGTTTAGTTCACTTACTATGCAGCCCATGCTTAAAGAATGGAAGTTTATCATATTGAATTTACCGTAGTTTTACTGCATTTAATATACCGTTTTTACCCTATTTAATTATGTCGGGTAAAGGCCGGTCGTGAAAAGTTCCTAATATAGGAAGTTTTAAAGGAAAAGTTTGAGTTGACTTTAACGCTTACGTTAGTGAACAATTAGCTTAGTCTATTGTGAGGAAAGTTACTAGAATCTAACATTGCAAGTGCCATTTCTTTTCTCTTTTTGAGAAACATGACTAGATACATGAATCGCATAGTTTTATTACTAAATGTTCATGGATTAGGTTGCATAGTTGAGGAAATGGTGATAAGGTTTGTGATTGTGTACCTTGACTTCAGCAGAGATTTTGATAATGGCGCAAAATTGATAGGGGCTCGGATCATTGGGAATGCTGACTGAAGTTGATTAGGTCATGGCTATACCAAAGGAAATTAGTATAAATGGGGTTAAGTTGGGAGAAGTGTTGTAAGTAGTGCCTAAAAGATCTCCTTGGACCTCGGTTATTAGCAAGATTATGGTTTAGACTGCAATAGTTGCAGAATTGGCAAATAAAAAAATACCGATGCCCTATATAGTTTTGAAATGGTTAAGACTACCAGATGCAGTTTAATGCTGACAAATGTAATGTTTGGGGGCTAGGTAAAGATGAGATAGATGGTGTAGATTCTTAAGTGTTAAATTTTTTGCAGTTGATAAATTCTCCCCGAGCTGGCACTGCTCTCCAGCCTGGGATGTTGATTGGTTAGTCTTCAACCGCCTCCCAACATGGTAGTGAGGTCCTGAGCCGACATGCAGTGAGGAACATGGAAAGCTTCCTGAATAGGCACATGGTATGCCTCCCTTTCAAACCAGCAGCTGGCACAAATGTTCCAGCTAACATCAGAATAGTGGATGAAGCCCACACTAAAGTGTAAGTGGTACAGTAAATGGACACCCCCCCCCCCCTCCCTTATGACGCTGAACAGTTGGGAGGAAGGGGGGGGGGGAGATGTGTGGCTTATAGTTCTATTGCTACAGAAAGTTCAAGTATGTTTATTGAGATAAGCAATAAATACATCTCAAAGGGATAGAGTAGCTTAGGCTATTTCTACCCCCCTACAAATAACTTTTTAGTAATATTTACTGTTCACATGACAGGTTGTGGAAGGTCCTGGCAACAAAGAGCTGCAGGAAAATACTTGCAGATCTACAGTAAGTAATGTTGTGTACATTGGAATTAGAGGGAAGAAGTTAATTGCTAAAAACCTATTAAATATTAGGGTATGGAAGTCTAGGCTAGTGGGTACCATATCTGCAAGTTTAGTCCTTTCAGGAATGTATTGAAATTGTGAAAATTGTAATGTGGGGCATTAGATCTTTAACAGCATAGTTGAGGGTGTTTTATTAATAATTTTAATAAAATATAAATCTCGTTTAGTTAACATTAAATGTTTGTTAAATAAGCTTTAATCTATAAATGTATAACACTGTTAAGGGTAATCATGAGTCAAATAGTTAATGGCAGGAAAAGTTTTGTTCTAAGAGATGGTATTTTTACCTAGAAAGTAAAAAAAATATTCAATGTTTACTTTAGCTTGGTTTTAAATTTATATATTTTTCCAGAATGTGGTTTGGAAAGTCCAGAAGTTGCTCTCAGTTGCTTAAACAGAATCAGGCGAGTTGTAGTAAAGGTTAATCTGACTAGATTTGCATAAAAGTAAAAAAATAGTAATAACTTAAACACTAGCATTGGCTAAAGATAAATGTAAATTGCCATTGAAGTGCAGTTGTGGATAGTTTCTCAAATGACATATATTTATATTGCTAAATTAGATCTTTACTACTGCTACTAGAATATGTAGGAAAGGTAAATTCCTTAAAGAATTTTTCCATCTGAATTTGTAAAGTAAAGCAAGATTGGCTTTAAATCTGAAATTAATTTGTTGAAATATTTTTCAGGTGAAAGTGATTATGATGCATGGACTGGCTTGGAGTGAGGCTCCTTTACTCTGCAAAAGGAAATCTACAAAAGTGGGTGAGTTTGAATTTGATGTTTTAGCTATATCAATGACCTAATCTTAATTCTCTTATCTAGTCCATTTATAGGTGTGTAACCATGTCCTACTGTTACAACCCACAGGGTGATGCAGTTTGTACTGATCCTACCCCATTTCATAAAAGGGGACCAGGCAGTCCTGCAAATATCCCTGGCTTGGCTTTTTCAGAGCTTTGCTCTACTACCCATCTAATAGATGGACTAGATTTGCATAGGTTTAGGGACCCTTAACAATGGTTACATTGTTAATTCTCACAGGGCTTGTTTGCTGAATGGGTGGATGCATCTAAAACTTTAGTGCCTGGCATGCATTGTACAGTGCTCTCATAAAGCATATGTACAATGTGTTGATGGCACTAAAGTGGTGGATGTAATGCACCCATTCAGGGAACAAGCTCTGCACTGAAACCAGAGTAAGGGATAGGCCTTGCTGAGCCTATCTTAAAAGATAGGATGTTAGGATTTTGTGGGCTTCTTATTAGGCATTGGTGATAATAAAAGTAGTGTCCCTGTTTAATGTTTATTTTTCTTTTACAGGTGATTGTCTCTGGAGTTGTCTTGGCCTTTTGGATCTTCTGTTCATCTAGGAGCATCTGTCCCACAACCTGAAACAGTAATAAATTAGATGTATTATAAATACTATATGTAAAACTTATTAAATAAAACAATTTTAATGAAACTACATTATATACCTTATCCTGAAAACTATTGTTTACTACTATTGATGCAATGTTTAAACATCTGAAATTTTTTACTTTGAAAATAAGTACTTGGTAAAATTTACACCTATTTGTAACTTGTTACATAGGTGCATGCAAAATGCATTGAAAAGATGTAAAAGTGGACTACCTATTCAATTTACATAAACT